AGGATGGTCTCGGTCTCTTGACCTCGTGATCCACCCGCCTCGGCCTCCCAAAGTGCTGGGATTACAGGCGTGAGCCACCGCGCCCGGCCTCTTACTTCCTTAAGTTACTCCATTCATTGCTCTACCTACGTCCTTAAGTTACTACCTGGCTAATAAGAAAAAGGGCAAGAAACAAGAGTTCAAAAGACAGTAAGAACACTAGCAGCAACGTGGCTTTCAAACAAGAACTCTGGCAGGGTCAAGGTCAAACAACTTCTCCATTTCGTGTTGCATTGATTTCATGCGCCGACAGTCTCAACGTCAGTCTGAACGTCAGAGCACTGTACAACCACTAGGAATAGAACTACAGTTTTTTTAAAAGTCACAGAAACACTGGGGACAAAATATATCAAAATAAAAATGTATCGGCATAGGGTAACAGATCTTTTCTATATCCTCCAAACTTTTTATGTAGTTACATATGTAACTCTAGTTATCTTTTGGATTACTGTCTTTGCTTAAGTTTAAAACGGGGGAAAAGTTCTGTGCAATCCACTTTAGAAGCTAAAGAGAAACATGAAAAATTTGGACCATCTGGAGTGTATTCCTGGGGAAGAGTTCACATACCCCAAGAAATTCTACTTCTTGTCACATTTAACCACAGAATGAGAGGAAAGAGGAGGGAGAAAAGAAGTTACATCATGGAACCTAAAAAACTTTCTGCTCCAAACAGGTTCCCAAAGCCAGTGTTTAACAGCTGCTAATCAGGGTGTTCCAGGCCTCAGGCACAAAGGTCAGATCACCTGACAATGTCAGAACCTGAGGGACACAGAAAGAATCATTCCCCTATCTTTACAGAGTAGATGCACTGTATTAAGTGTGGTCTTGTCTACATAAGTTTGAATACAGAAACTAACACAAAGACAATTCTCTAAAAATAAACAAATACATCAATTTAAAAATAAATAAATAAAACTCAATGGCCTGGTGAAGGCACAGAGGACCTAACTGGAAGAGAAGGGAGGATACCACACTGAAAACTTGAGTGCACCCAACACACCCCGGGCCCAGTCAGGCCACTCACAGCCTTGTTGACAGCCATTCGAAGTTCAACCACGCCCCCAAACTTCTGGCTCACAGCTCGGCTCACCGGGACGTAGGCCATTGGGATGACCTCAATGGGGATTCCCTTGTGCCACTGATCACCAAGATTCTTTGAATCTTTCCTGGAAAGGAGTCAAAAAGTACAATAAAAGTAAATAAGCTCAACAGTACAGGCAAACACCAAATTCAGGAATGGGATTAATCAGATGGTAGGAAGGCAAGGAAAGTGATCAAGGGCAGTAAACATGGGGCTTCAAATGAATTAGCTATTTCACTATATAGGAAAAGAGCTATCTGAAATAAATATGATAAAAATGTTAAAATCTGATATTGCAGGCTTGTGGGTATGTAGGTGTTTAATATTTATGCTTTTCCTGTGGCTATATTTTGCAAGTAAATACACACATACACATATTTGAAATTAACATGCTCAGCACAAGTGCTTTTGACCAGACTCCTTGAAGGAGCATCTGAGAGCCCAGTCCAAGACCATCAATGACACCAGTCACGTGCAGCAAACCCTGACCCAAGAAGAAGCAGGGCATGCTGAGTCACTGCTGATAGGCAGGGCACACCCTGCTTCATCTGAGGCTCCCTGTGAGGATCCAGTGAGTGACATGACACATGAGAGCATGCTCTGCTAACAGGGTGACAAGCTGTTTTCCCCCTTCCACTGAACACATGAAACAGTGCTAGAGATCCTGGCTGCAGATAACAGTGATGTAATTGGCAACATCAACCTTCAGCCTGGTAGCAGAATATAAGGTCTCCTACACACTGTATCAAGCCCTAGCCATCAGCCTCAGAGAGTCACAGTCCCTGCAGCGCTCCATTTCCTGTTTCACTAAAATGAAGATGAGGCTTGGGAGTCCAATCTATCTCGTCAGTTGGCAGTTCAGACACCAGAAACTGTACCTGAAATCAGCGATCACGATGAAGCGACTAGCATAGCCAGCCACAATCTTCTCCTGGGTTAGGCAGCCTCTGTGGATAGGAAAGAAGGAAATGAACACAGGAGTAAGACAAAAATCTCAGTTTGGGAACTAAGGTCAAATATAGGAATCCCAAATCCACTCAATCCTGACACTTAAAGAGAAATTTTAATTTTTAAACAGACAGCCCCAATGCCATCATGCTGCTGCCAGTAAACAGACTATAGAAGCATTACCCTGTGTCTAGGAGAAACCTAGAAAGCAGACAAGGTTCCCATTCAGGCAAGGCATAATTCCATCCAAATGCATCTGAGAGGAAGCACTGTGTTCAGGGAGACGTCAACTGAAGATGGCATGAATGGGAGGGTCTAGAAGCTGAGGAGGGCATGCTTTGGACAACCTGCCCTATAGACTATTTGCCAATAAGGGCGATGAAGTGGAGAGAGCCCAGAGCACTGAATCAGCAGATGTGGGTCCAGTTCTATCTCTAAGGTTTATCAGCTAAATTATCTCACTTCTGCAGTTGACAGAAAAGTGATTTTAAACAAATGCTGTATCACTCAATGGTCTGCTTGATTATAAGAACCAGCATAACAGGATTTCACCTTTTTCAACTCACCATTCCCATCACTTCCCAAATCAGCACTGAAGAAATACCCGATTAATGTTTCCAAAGGAACAAAAAATACCCCTAACTGCTCACAGAGGTTAGCACAGCTTTAAAGCAAAAGTCACACATGGGTATCCACAGACTTAACAATCTAGCCCAGTATAATTTTGATTTGCCTTAAGTTTTTAAAGTTTCAATCAACAAAAGAACACAGATCCACAGAGAATCCATTACGATAAATAACCTCACTAAAGAGGACCAGGCTGTCACTAAATTGCTGCTAATGACCAGAAATGCTGAGCTGGGTCTAAGGCCATATGCTATCAACATCCTAGGAGAAAGACAAACTTGCATATGTCACAGAAGCATTTGTTTATTCTGTATCCATATTGCTTTGCTAAAGATTAACTGGCAGATACTCTTCAGCACAAAAGCCCCTCAACACTCACCCGCCGCCCTTGATGAGATTGAGATCAGCATCTACTTCATCAGCACCATCGATGGCAAGGTCGATCTGTATAAGGGGAAAGTAAAGATACAAAAACCACTGGAGGAGAGGCTCTGTGCTAAGTCTGAGCATGGAATAGCTCCTCAGATACTCAGCAGCCCTATTAGCTAATTCCAGTACTCCCACTTAACAAATCAAGAAATTGAGCTGCAAGAGGTTAAGCTGCTCCACTAGGATCAAAGGGAAACAGCACAGGGCTTGGGACTCTAACCTGGTACAGTTTTTACCCACAAGACTATGTTCCCTCTTCTCGTTGAGGGGCTTCTCTATGGACAAGCTGCAGTTATTTAGAGCATGGATTTGCAGTGTGGTATCACCGCCACAAGAGGCAAATATTGGTCGTTGGTAGGGGAATAAAAAATCTTAGACATTACATTGAGTTTTGGCCCACCAAAGGGCCAATATAGTAATATCTGTGCTACTAAATTCCAATGAGGGTGAGGAAAATACCAAAAAAAAATTGATTCAGAAGTCTCTACTAACTGTGAGCAAACTCACAGGCAATTTCAACTGGACATCAGGAAGTTGATGTGTTCCTGAACTGGAAATTATTTGGGGCATTGCCACTAAGACCCCACTTGTCTGGGCTCAATTAAGAAGCTCCACCACAAGCCCCAAAGGCAGTTGAGGGGCAAACAAGTTCATCTAGCCTTCAAAATTCAAAATCAAGAAAGTGACACATTTCTCATCATTCATGGTATTCTGCATGGACAATGTAGGAACCCCAAGTACATTTTTAAAGACAGCAAGCAGTATGCAGGGTACAAATTTTATTCATAGTACAGTTACTAAATTGCTTGGTATGGCTGGCATGGCACAGGTATAAAAATACAGTTCCTACTGCAACAGGACTACTAAAGAAAAAAAAATAAATAAAATATATATATATATATATATATATATATATATATATATATATATATATATATACACACACACTGTTCCACATGGGTCACGCTTACTTCCAGACTTTTACAGATTCCGGCCTTTGTCTGAAGTTACAGCTGGCACTGCCCTCCCCAAGCCTGCATTAGCCCCAGAGCCAAGCTGCGCTGTGGCAATTCTCTGGGGTATGGAAAGTCGCAACCTTTTCCGTCTGGGCTCCAGGCCCACCTTCAGCCCAAACCACTCTCTTCACAGCTGCTGAACACATGATCAGCCTGTGCCCCTGACTCTGCCCACAGAAATCCTCAAGTCCTTCCCATAGTTCCTGCTAACCCCTGTGAGGCCCATGTGTGCCACAGAAATGTGGGTTACTAGGTCACCATCAAGTCTCAACCCCCAGACTGGTTTTCCAGGTGCCATTAAACTACCCCACTTTTCCTATCCCCACCAGGCACCAATGCAGTCCATTTACTCTGTCCTATCACCCCAGCCAGTCTGAGCAATGTCCATACACTCACACACCCACGTGGAGCTGTTCCTGTGGTTCCCACCTACCACTCTCTGGAATGTTCTCTACTGCCTTTGCCACTTGGCCTTTACAGCTCAATTCAAACTTTACCTCTTCCCATGAAACTCTTCTAACTAGCATTAATCTAGAATAGATGTGTCTGAGTTCAAATTCTGATTCTGTCACTTAAAAACTGTGGCCTGAGGAGTATGACTTACCCTCTCAATGCCTTTTTCACATCTATAAAATGGGAAAATTATGGTACCCTATCTTTAAGAATACTGGAGATAAAACAGTTTAATATGGGTACAGCAATTAGAAAAAGCTGGTACATAATAACAGCTCAGAAAATGCCAGCTAGGGTGCATGATGCTGCTCACCCTCACCAACTGCAGTCTCCTCTGGACTGCCCCTGTGTTAGTCTTTACCACAAAACTTACCATGTTTTCAAATGTCCATGGCTGCCTCAGATGAATCTTCCTTACCTCCACTTAGGGGCAAGCTCCATGAGCTGTCTCACTCTTATACCTCTGTACAAAGACCTCAAGAAGCCCTCGATGCAGCCCTGGGCCCACTTCCCTTCATTACATTCACACTGACCCCTCATGGTTAAACCACAAGAAACGTGGTAAAAATGAACCACCTCGGCACTTGTGACCTCAGCCAGAATTAATACTCAGGGTCCTAGGAGAAAACTTAATACAACTGACATTTTCCCTAGATTTGACAAGACATCTGGAACCCACAAACAAGTGACAGCTATGAAAAAATGGAGAGAAACACTCAGCAGTCTGTCTCTGAGTGGTGATCTTACCTCTGGGTGTCGATCCAGGTCACTAAGGGTCAAGCCATACTGCAGGATGAGCTGACGGGCCTGTGGAAGACAGGGAAGGGCAACAATGATCATTTACTTGAGCTCATGGCAAGGATTCTCAGAATTCTTTTGGATTTAAGTGTTCCACGTCCTGCCCAGGCTCTCTCCCAAAATCCAGCATGGCCCACCAAGAGGTAGGAGATCTAGCCCCATGAATGGTAAAACTAACTGCTGATTAAACCTGGGAGCTGGAAAGAGGCAAACAGCACAGCAAGGACTGTGTTCCAATGCAAAGCTAAGAGCTCCTCCTCAGTGACTCACAACAAAAGAGAATGCCATGGCATCCTAAAGCTTCTGGCAAAACAAGCGTGACAAAAAATTCCTAACATAGAACCAAATCCACAAAATATCAAAAAAGCTTTTTTTTCTAAACTTGGGATAATCCAGGTCAACAAAAAAACTTTTAAAGCAATCCAATGGTACAAAAAAAAAAAAAGACTGAAGAAGATCATTATGAATTGACATGGAGTGATTTCCAGCCCATACTGTTAGGTAACTATGAGGAAAAGAATACATACATTTAAAAATGCCAGAATCCAGAGGAACTAAGTGAGAAAGTCCGCAAATTTAGCACAGTGGACTGTGAGAGATTTAGGATGTTTGTGAAAAAGTCAGCCCCACTGACTTTATAATTGTGCCTCTGAGCTAACCTTTTTAAAAAGGTGACAAAAGGGGAGAGTGGTGGTTACAGCCATCACATGGCTCTGAGCAGGATTCGTGGCTGGAATATAGGTCTCAAACCTTCATGTTTGAACACCCAAGTCCCAGTGATGCAGGTTTATGTTTGTGTCATTGCTTATAATGTACAGAAACCAAAGGATGGAGAACTTTTTTGGAAAGACATACCTCCACAACATTTTCCAATTAAAATGAAAAGCACCTGAGATTAACAATCAGCAGGTACAGGTTCTAATCTTAAATGAGCCAGCCCTGTGACCCCTGGCAAGTTTTCTCATCTAAAAAAAGGTAGAGACAGATGAAATGACCAAGGCCAACCTTCCAAACTAAAATCCTAAGACTGTAAGACTAAAGCATAAAGATCTTGAAAATTATAACGTTGGATGGATCCTGATTCAAACAAACTAAAAAATATATTTTTAAAGGATAAGACAATAGAAAAACTTTGAGCCCCAGATTTGATGTTATTAAAAATTATTGATGTTATTAGAAATTACTGCCTTTTGTTAGTATTGTGATGTTCAAAAGACTCCCAATTTTTCAAAGAGACATATGAAATATATTTAATGAAATGATATTATGCCTGGAATTTGTTTTGAAATAAGAGGCTGGAGCGCTATTTAGGTATGGATGAAACAGGATTGGCTGTGAACTGATAATTATTGAAACTGGAAGCTGAGTATACGGAAGTTCATTTTATTGTTCTCTCTTTCTAAACTTTGAAATTTTCTGTAATAAAAAGCTAAAATAAAATGCTGGCTAAGCCAGTTTAAAAAAAAAAAAAAAAAAAACATCATTTTGTACTCGAGAAATATATACTGAAAAGGAAAATATCCAAAACAGTATTGCTAGATTATTTCTTAATTCTTAGATTCCTCCAAAAGTACTATTAGAACTATGCAGCCATTAAAAAAAAAAAAAGGAGATCATGTCCTTTTCAGGAACATGGATGGAGCCAGAGGCCATTATCCATAGCAAACTAATGCAGGAACAAAAAACCAAATGCCACATGTTCTCCCTTGTAAGTGGGAGCTAACAGAAGGTAACAACACACTGGGGCTGACCGAAGGAGAGAGAGTGAAGGGTGGGCGGAGGGAGAGGATCAGGAAAAATAACTAAGTGGGTACTAGGCTTAACACCTGGGTGACAAAATAATCTGTACAACAAACCCCCATGACATGAGTTTATATAACAAACCTGTATATGTACCCCTGAACTTTAACGTTTAAAAATATAAAATAAAAGTAGCATTAGAGAAACCTAACTTCAGATCTGAGACTATAAAAACATTGGAAAGTGGCCTGAAAGATGGCCCCAATAATCCTCACCTCCTGATATTCATCCCTTTGGGTCATCCCTTCCCACGCTGTCCCAGAGTTGGTCTGTGTGACCAATGGCAGGCACAAAGCAGAGGTGATGATATGACGCTTCTGAGATTAGTTTATAACACTGCAGAGGGAGGGAAGGGGTAAGGTTGCAGAGGGGCATACTTCTCTTTCTCTCTCTCCTCTCTCACATGGGGTATTTAAGCCAATCGCTAACACATCACTAACAGCTGGGCACTGTGGCTCATGCCCATAATCCCAGCACCTTGGGAAGTCGAGGTGGGTGGATCATTTGAATTTAGGAGTTTGAGACCAGCCTGATCAACATGATGAAACCCTGTCACTACTAAAAATACAAAAATTAGCTGGACATCACGGTGCCCACCTGTAATCCCAGCTACTCAGGAGGCTGAGGCAGGAGGATCACCTGAGCCCAGGGGGTGAAGGTTGTAGTGAGCTGAGATCGCACCAGTGCACTCCAGCCTGGGTGACAGAGTGAGACTCTGTCTCAAAAACAAAAAAAAACCACATTGCTAACTAAAAATGACATTTTAAAAATAGCTGTCATGTCCTGGACAAGGAGTTGGCTCTCCTTCCCCTAAAAGGCACATTATCTCTACTTCTTCTCTACCATATACTTACATGAATGTAGCATTAATTCTTTGAACATTTGTGGCATGCCAGGCACCACACTGGACACCAAAGATAGTAACACACACTCTCTGTGCACAAGGGCCTCTGTATTCTTATATAAATGTGTATACCTTAAATTGGGGGTGTCCAGTCTTTTGGTTTCTCTGGGCCACATTGGAAGAGCTGTCCTGGGCCACACATAAAATACACTAACAATAGCTGGTGAGCTAAATAAAACACACACACACACACACACACACACACGTCAATGTTTTAAGAAGGTTTATGAATTTGTGTTGGACCACATTCAAAGCCATCTTGGGCCATGGGTTGGACAAGTTTGCCTTAAATGATCATTACAACCAGTTGAGCTATGCCTCCTCACCACAACCACCAGCCAGCAACCCCAGTACCTGACCAAACCTGACCAAAGCCTGGTTGGTGAGCACTGTCTATTTCTGCAGCTAGGAGGCCCACTGTGCTTCCCTTGCATATCCCCATAGCCCCACCCTCAACTTCTGCAAGCCCTGGGATTCTCCCATCTTCCCCAGCAGACAATAAGCAACACCTGAAGGGGAGCATCTGTACTCCCTTAAAACAGTTCTGTGCCCCCATTCACAACACGGGGCTCAGGAATTCTGCCAGTTTGTGAGGATGAACAACCAAAGTCTGGGCCCCTGTACAACGACTTCAAGATCCCACTAAGACGGGACACTTTAAGTCTGTTCCCATCAGCAAGTTCTCCAGTTCTCCCTTCTCCCCACCTGTGACTTGCCTCCCCGCAGGACCTCTTTGAGTGGACGTGCAGCTCTACAGAGAAGATTACAAATGGCAATAGCCTCATCCTTCCTGTTAGGTTGAATTGTGCTCCCCCAAAAAAAGACCTATTGAAGTTCTAAGCCTCAGTACTTCAGAATGTGACATTTTATGGAGACAACGTCTTTAGAGAGGTAATCAAATTCAAATGAGGTCATTAGAGTAAGCGCTAAATCAATATGACAGGTGTACACAGAAACAAATGTGAACGTGCAGGCAGAGATTAGGGGGATGGGCCTACAAGCCAAGGAATATCAAAGGAACCAGCAACCCACCAAGACAGTTAGGAAGAAGGCACAGAACAGATTCTCCTTCACAGTCTCGGAGAACCAATTCTGCCAACACCTTGATGTCAGAGTGCTAGCCTCCAGAACTCTGAGACAATACACTGCCGGGTTTTTTTTTAAGCTATTCAGTCTGTGGAGCCTTGCTTTGGCAGCCTTAGCAAGCTGATGCATGGAGTTCAACAAAAAACGTGGGGTTTTAACCCACCACTGGCTCAGTGAGCATATGCAGCACCTGGTGCTCCACTGAGCTGCATCTGCTAGACACCAGAAGCTTCCAATTGGCAAGCAAAAGGATCTCTGGAGTGTGCTGAGTAAACACCCCTGCCTGCCTCTTCTGACCAGAGCTCTGGAAAGTGCAAGGGAGCAGGAAAGCTAATGATTAGCTTGTGATTCTGAAGCAAGGCAAGAAGCAAACCCCACAGCTGGTACCTCTAAACATCTCTTGTGATTAGGGACAGTGGCACATGGGAGGCTAGCGGTACTTCTGTTTTCCCTTAATTTCACCATAAAACCTGAAAATGTAGTTTTATTATTTCACAAAATGTAGTTCTCAGGTTTTAGAGTGCTGACATAGCAGAAGGGTAAACATTTTCCCTTCTACTACCTAATCCAGGTAGAATTGAAGGCAGAGTGAGCAATAAATACTATTTTTGGTTTAAACCAGTTCTGGCTTTCCAGTGCTTTACCTTCTTCCTTACCTGCCACCTTTAAAATTAAAGACCTTGGGCCGGGCGCGGTGGCTCAAGCCTGTAATCCCAGCACTTTGGGAGGCCGAGGCGGGTGGATCACGAGGTCAAGAGATCGAGACCATCCTGGTCAACATGGTGAAACCCCGTCTCTACTAAAAATACAAAAATTAGCTGGGCATG